GAAACAATTATTATTAAAAAACAATAATAAATTTCAGGAAAGCCCTGTGCTTCACACCGCCTCCATCTAAACGAAAACCTGGAAAACGACTTGAACCCCTCGAAGCGGAGACGAAAACGGTGGCTGCTGGAAGCCGAAGCGAAACTGCCGTACGACGAACCGCCGCGTTTCTACAACCCGAATCGAACCATCCTCAGACGTCCGTTCACGCCCATCTTCGACCTGAATCAACCGATCGACGAAGAATTCGATCTGATGACGAACAGGACGAACGTCGACGTTTCGGGTCTGATTTTTCGCAACGTCAACAAGAGGGCCACCGTCGACCCTAAGAAGACGACGTGCATGTTGTATCTGCAGGCGGACCATCAGTTTTTTTCGAAATACGGAACGGAGGAGGCTTGCATCGAGGTTATGACGAGGCACGTGCAGCGAGTCAACGCCATTTATAGCAATACGGGTGAGTTTGAAATGTAACAAGTGGAATGCAACACCCTCTTGGTGATCAGTTGATCATTTTTCGTACGTCCAAATCAATAAAGTTCATTTTTAGGCCGTGCTAGCGCAAAAATGTTATCTTTGGTGGTACCATTCCTGAACAAAAAAAAAGCTTCTATTGGTTCAACTGCCAATCACTGTATTTAAAAATTTTCTGACGATTCATCATTAACAAATTTTTGTTGTTTTCCTTCTAGTGCTACTGCTTATCGCCATATCCTCCATCTAGTATTCAGAATGGTCATACCTTCATTTGACTCGTGAGTTTCCACTTTGGCGGTTCAAAGCCTTTAAGCCGATATGAATGCCAACCGAACTTTCTGTCTGTCGTTAGAACTGATAAGATTCACCATAACTTACAACTGTTCTCACAAATAACGAATATTTATATACCTACAACATTCAACCATCTAACATTCAACCATTCAACAATATATTCTTATATTAACTTTTTTTATGGAGTAGTAGAATATACCTATGCCAATGAATACAGATGTTTCTGTTATTGTAAACTGTACCAAAGTAAACTTGGCAATAGACATATTCTATGCAATAATTAATTCAATAATGGACCAATGTTTTCCTCTTAGACCGAATTTTACCAGTAAATATCCACCCTGGTTCAATAGGGATATCATAAACGAGATCAAACTTAAAGATAAATTATTCAAAAGATCAAAATCAAACTATTTAGAAACTATACGTGATCAATTTAGAAATCTTCGTAGGTCAATAAAAACCCAGACATCACAAGCCTACAAGGAGTACAAACAGAAAGCAGAAAATTTGATCAGAACTGATACCTCCTCATTTTGGAACTATATGCATAGTAAAAAAGGCACTTCAAGAATTCAGAAATTTTCATTCTCAAATGATGAAGAACTGAAAAACCTTACTTCAATAGTGAATGCTGCTGAATTCTTTGAAAGTGTGTATACTCCTTCTGATAGTAATAAGAAAACCAACAAATTTTTCCACAATAACAAATGCATTCTCCGAAGAAGAGATTTTGCAAACTCTCAAAAAATTGAAACCAAAATTCCAGCGGTAGATAACGAAATTCTGCGCTTTCTAGTAAAAGACTGTACATACATTTTTGCAAAGCCACGTCAATTAATTTTCAACATGGCCTTAAAAACTGCGTGTTTTTCCGATAGATGGAAAGTATCTAAAATATGTCCAATACTGAAATCAGGGGATCCAAATAACATTCTGAACTATCGACCCATAACAATTCTGTCCAACTTTGCAAAGGTCTTTGAGATGTGTCTGTATAACAACATTTCTCCTAAAGTGAGAAATAGTATAACTCTATATCAGCATGGTTTCATCAATAAACGTTCAACAATAACTAATCTCATGTGTTTTACACAAACGGTCAGCACTGCGTTAGATAAACAGCTACAGGTGGATATAATCTACACAGACTTCTCAAAGGCCTTTGATGAAGTGAACCATCAAATTCTACTGAATAAATTTTTTTTCTGTTGGTTTCGATAGTTAACTGTTGAATTTACTACAGTCTTATCTTCAGAATCGTACGCTATTTGTAGAATACAAAGGACACAAATCAACAGAATTCACTTCAACTAGTGATGCTCCTTAAGGAAGTGATCTAGCTCCTCTTCTATTTTTTTTGTCTTTAAATGATATTGTTCCAAATATCTCCAGTAACATATTACTCTTTGCTGATGACTTGAATATTAAACAAGCTTCCACTGAATACTCAAAAATGTAAATTTATGAAATACACCCTCAAGCACACCAATATACAGTTTGACTATGCAATAAACGACGTCATATTAGAACAAAGCACAGAAACTAAAGATCTGGTCATCATATTCGATAAGAAACTTAGCTTCACGTCACAAATTGATCAAATCACATCTTCTGCAAAAAAAATGCTTGGCCTCATCTTCAGGACGTGTAGGGACTTTCAAAATGTATCATAACACTTTTTAATTCATATGTCCGATCTCGTCTGGAATATGGCTCCCTATTCTTCTGGTCACCTATATACAATGTGCTTATACAGCAACTCGAATCTTGTCAAAGAATCTTCATGAAATACATGGCTTACAAACTGGATGGAGCTTACCCATCCCAAGGAATTGATAATAGACTGTTGCTGAATAGATTTGCCCTCTAATCCTTAGAAAACAGAAGAACATATTATGCGTGTATCTTCATATATAAATTCATTCATAATCTGGTTGACTGCCCAGATTTGTTATCTCAAATAGATTTTCACGTACCGAGACGAAGTAGTAGAAACGAAATATTTTTCTATTTGCCTTTGCCTAGGATCAACGTGTTAATAAAATCCCCAGTTTATAACACCTGTAAAATTCATAATAGTTTCTATTCAGAATGTGATATTTCTGTTGTCCCATTTGGTCGCTTCAAGCATATAATTTGTAACAAACTATTTTTTATGCAAGTCGAACTACAATCTAATTACAACCCATAAGTGAAAAACTGTGTTTCAACACTGCACACTGCCAACTCTATTAGAATTATTTTTGTTTCTTTTTATTTATTTTATATGATTTTATATGCTATTCGTTATATTCCATTGTACTCATACTCAGTCATAGCTGAAAGCTTAATTATATTTGTCTTGTAATTGGGATAACTCCTGTTAGACAATAAACCTTTTTTTAATAAATCAAATTAACAGTTGAAATTAACATTCCAAAACGCTCAAAGGTGCAAACTCGTTTCCTCCTTTCCATAAAATGAGATGTATCTCCAATCACAAGCGGTTTTGGTTAAATTGGTGACACGTGTGAATCGTTGTATTCGTGCCACGTGCCAGTATAAGGATGTCTGCAGAATGCTGTATAATGTCCGCTGTAGGTAGACCCACTGTGATTCGAAAGTGCATATAGATTATAACGCCAATGAGTCACATTGTCTGCTGCATAATTGCTGATACCTAATCTATCTAGAGGAAATTCTATGGCAACATTCAACTTGCCTCGTAATCTTTTCGTTAGAGAGACTCCTTTGAAATGAATGTCTAAACTACGTAAAAACACTTCTTCTTTCTTCTTTTTCTGCATGTCCATCCAAAGTTTCCCCTCTTGTGAAGGAATTCAAGCATTCTGATAAAATTAATTGGCCAGTTCTTTGTGGTATGGGGAGAGACAAATTACAGAAAGGATTAAAGGCTACTGATGAGTGTCCACAGTGTGTGTACTTCATCATGGATTCCAATTGACCAACGAAATTATCTACAATCTTGGATTTATATCTTGGAGTTTATATACTCAAATAACTTGGCCATGATGATGCGTGTGGCCCATGAGTCGAGAGAACTATGTTCATTGCTCTATCGGATGAATTCTCTGAACACTATTCTTTTATAACTTCCGCGAACGCTTTGATTAAAGCGCCCTCCATACTAGAAATACGATTCTTGAAATTTTACTATGGACCAGTAACCACCTCGTATTTGATAAACACTGAATTACACTGAAACAGGCATTGCCAATATTTTTCAAGCCATTCAGTCCAAGGGTTTTGACTGAAGAATATATTACTGCTCTAATATAGTTGTAGCTGTTGGTGACACGTCCGCCACTGCTGTTTTCTTCAGAATAATCACGGATATGATGATTGTCCCCATCATTGGACCAGCCGGATGAGGTATTTGAAGTTATATTGCTCAGAAATGAATTTGACAGATGTATGGTTGACTTTCCGAATTTGTGAGAGAATGATAATGCCAGAACTTGTCCATTTTTCCCTGCATCATCTGAGAAAATCGGGAAACGGTCCATTTGCTTACTTCATTTCGGGATGTTAACTTCACTGCCTAACGGAAAATGTTCTTATTTCAGTTTTGCAGCTGCACTATACACCAAAGTTTTACTTTATCTTGGCACTTGTAGCGCGAAAAATTATCGATTTTCCGGAAGGTTCAGAATTTTCAGGAGGGCTATTCTCTAATTTTCCATGGGTCGGGAGCTCGGCGTCGTCTACATGCAACGTGCATTGGACGACCCCGAGCGCTGGTACCTCGAATGGAAAATCCGAGTGAACCCGGAAAAAACTCAGGCAATAACCATGGGAAGAATGCTATCTTCTCCGGCCAGAAAAGTGAGGATCCCTGGAATGGAGATCTACTGGCAAGCGCAGGTAAAGTACCTTGGTCTTCTAATAGACTGTAGGCGCACCTGGAACCCGCACATCACAACCGTGAAGGTAAAGATCGAGGGTCGGAACAAAAGTCAGTACCCTCTGATCAATAGACGTTCCAAATTAATACTAAAGAACAAAATTACGATCTATAAAACGATCTGGGGACACGCGGCTCCATCTAATATCTCCATTTTGGAGAGATTGCAAAGCAAGTTAATAAGGATGATTGTGAATGCTGCATGGTTCGTACGGAACGAAGCCATCCGCAGAGATTTGCAGCTGCCTTCCATTCAGCAGTCCATTCAGTCTTTGATTGCGCAGAAACTCACGATAATCCGTTAGTTAGGGAAGCTATAGATTATGCTGTAGACGACCCCTCCCAATATAGAAGGGCCAGACACTCTGTCGAATGAGGCCCTCATGTCCCCCCAGCCAGTCCAAACACCACAGCCAGGCAGGGGTCCACCGTGAAGGGCGGTACTGATGTCTGAGGACATTCATGCCGCCATCCCATCAGTCTTGACCCGTTTGTCTTTCTGACAAACACCAGTGGAAAGGGTGAGGAAGCCAGCCTCCAACCTGTTTAAATCAAGATGGCTGTCGGATCACCAGAGGATCGTAAGACTTGAGTTGGGAAATATATTCAGTTGCGAAATCAACTGGAAGTTATGTATGTATATATATATATATATATATAACTATCAGACTAACCTTTAGAGAGGGAAGATTGAGGATAGTGTTATTGGAAAATTATAGAATACTCCAAGTCATATAATATCTCATGTCTCACAGTATTTTTTTCTGATTTAGTATGTA